AAATAAAATATAAATAAATTCAATAAAATTATTATATTAAATTATTAAAAAATTTTATATAATTTATCAGTCTTAATTTTTATTTTTAAAAAACTTATTTAAATTTAAACAATTATCATTAATTTTTTTATTAAATTTTAATTTTAATAAAACTTAATATTATCAAATTTAAACTTATTTTTTAAAATTAAAATTTTAAATGATAAATTAGCCGTTAATATCTTTTAAATGATAATTTATTTTTAAGATTTAAAGGTAATAATTTACACTCCACAAAAATGAAAATAAAGAAAGTCAAGAACCATCAAGTAAAAATTTAGTTTTAACCATTTATCTTATTAGATTTATAAGTTTTAACTACTCATTTTATATTGTGATATTTTTAATTATTTACCTTATAGTATGATATTTTTAACCTCTCATTCATTAGAATTAAAAAAATTAACCCTCACTTATAACATTTTGTTAGTTTTGTTAACTGACTTTAACTTTATTAATTTATTATTAATTAATTGTTAACTGACAAAAATTTACTTTCAACCAATAGAGTTAATAATTAGTTAATAATCAGTTAACAAAACTATTTTGTTAGTTGCTTGTTAACTGATTGTTAATTGGTAAAAACTTACTTTTAACTATTAAAATTAATAATCAATTAATAGAGTTAATAATTATTAATAAAATTAACAAAAAATTATAAAGTAATTGATTATTTTTTTTAATTTTAATAACTGAAGGATTAAAATAGGATAACTATAGAGGGGATGATTTTATGGGACGAAAATAGAGGACAATAGATGTAGTAAGATCAAAATGTAAAATACAAAATAACCAATTTAACTTTATCACACTTGTCATCTTTTATTTTGATCCCATAAAATCATCCAACTATCGTTACCCTTGAAAATATCATTATATAACGTGGAAACTAAAAAATCTAAAAAGGTAAAAGTTGGAAAATAAGTTTTTGCCGGAACCGCCACGGTGCAAATCACCCCATCATCAACCTTTGACTATCATTTTACAAACTCCATCTGGCCGCAAGCTCAATTGAAAACCGTGCTCAACACCGCACATAATCATCACCCCTCTAAAGGCGCCTTGCGTGTTCTAAGAGAAAGCTCCACGATCTCTGAACCTCGAATCTCTCCGTTTCCCACTCCAATTTTCTCAATCAAAATTTTTAATGATTCCTTTTTCTTTTCTCAGTGTTTTCTGAAACACTGAACTCCTGTTCATGCAATTCTTTTGTCATCTGTTTTGATTTTTTCCTTTTTTTTTTTTGAGCCGTTTGGATTGAAGGAAAATCAAGATGTTGGAGGATCAGGTCGCGTATCTGTTGCAGAGCTATCTGGGGAATTACGTGATTGGTCTCAATAAAGAAGCTCTCAAGATCAGTGTTTGGAAAGGTTCGCCATCCTCACTTTGTTTAACTGAAAATTTTCAGTTACTGCTCTGTTCATGTCTAGAATTTAGCTTGTTTAGAGTGCTAGTGAAGATAAAACTAGTGAACCTTATGAAGTCCCGAGTTCCCTAGTTTACTTATTTTGCTTCTGATTTCTGAGACTAATGAGCTGAAGAATGTGACCTGCATTTTCTATGACATGGTGCTGCAAGTGAGCTTAGATTTCCATTGAGTAAAAGGAGGGTAGCTTGTTTGTGTTTAGTGTGTGATGGAAATTAGTAATGACGGCAACTGGTTTGATGTTAGCTCTTCAATGTCTGATAAAATTAAGATTAGAGATAAATTTGTAAGAGAAACTTGGAATTCTGTTTCATAAGTTGAGGTTGACAGAACTAATTCGTGAGAATCAATATAAATATTTTAGTTTCATTTTGAAAGTGGAGTTTGAAAGTTTTCAATGTTAGTCAAACTTCTGAGCAGCATTCGTGGTCGCTTACATGACCTTGTATTCTTTTTCCTTGTCTCCTTTTTGATTTCTTTAGTTTTTTCTTCTATCTGTCCTTTGAGGCTTCCCTTGTGTATGCCATGGGTGTAGGGTTAGGTTCTCTTTTGTTCTTTCACGTTTATTAATAATATCTGGCTAATTTTTGAAGGGACATTTGCTTCATTGGTCAAGTAATTGGGATCTGATGAGGGGTTTCTTCTGTTTTACTAGGTTGTTTTTGATGCATTTCTTGTTCTTTTTCTGTTTCCTAAACTGTAAAACAGGTGATGTCGAGCTTACAAACATGCAGTTGAAGCCAGAGGCACTAAATGCATTAAACTTGCCTGTGAAGGTCAAGGCAGGATTTCTTGGATCGGTTAAACTGAAGGTTTGTGATGTTCATCATGTGCCACATTAGACTGTCTTTGTATATTGGTGTTCTTCTAAGGCACTTCTGTATTACATGCCAACTTCAGGTTCCATGGAGCAGGCTTGGCCAGGATCCAGTTTTAGTTTACCTGGATCGCATCTTTCTCTTAGCTGAGCCAGCAACTATAGTAGAGGGGTCTAGTGAAGATGCAGTTCAAGAAGCAAAGAAAAACCGAGTGCGGGTAAGACCAGTTGAGCAGTGTATAGATTGGATATAGTAAACGCTATGACTAATGTTTGAGCTATCTTCTAATTCTCATCTTCATAATTTTTGCTGGGCCATAGGAGATGGAAATTAAACTGTTGGAGAAGACACATCAACTGAAGTCAGAAATGGTAGGACGGATTTGATTACTTAAAGTTGCTCATAGAGACAACAATGCCAATTTGCCAGTCATGTTATCCCGTATTTGTAGTTTCTTTTCCTCCTTTCTAGTGATGGACTGTGAATCATAGATGTACAAGCAAGAGAACTTTTTAATCACATGGTCCACTTCATAGGCTGTTGTTTCATGATCCTCTATCTGTATGGTACACATTAGGATATTTATTATTTTAGAAAGTAAAATCATATACTCTTTTGGCTTTCATAAGAGTTGGTCCCTACTCTTTATAACTATGAGGAAGGGCTGGAAAATAGGATTTCAGATCTTATGCTTCTTGCAGTAACTTATTCCATTCTTTGTGTTTAATCCCTCCACTAGCCTTTGAAATCTTGTAACTATTTACGCGGCATGGACTGCATACTTTTGATCTTTCATTCTTCTGATCATGGATTTTACATTTTATTTCTGGTTATAACTTCAACCTTCCTTTTGTTTTGTATTTCTTTGAAGAATAAATCGTGGCTGGGATCCCTTATTAGCACCATAATTGGGAATTTAAAGCTTTCTATCTCAAATGTCCACATCAGATATGAGGATTTTGAGAGGTAATGGAGAGTACCCTAATAATTAATGTCTTAAACTTCTGTATTTCTTAGTTAACCCATCTTCAGGCCTAACAGTTTCTTTTCTTTGCTTTTTATGCTTTTCTCCCCCCTTTTTTGGTACAGCAATCCTGGTCACCCTTTTGCTTCTGGTCTAACCTTGGAGAAACTATCAGCAGTTACAGTTGATGATAGTGGGAAGGAAGCTTTTGTCACTGGGGGTGCGCTAGACCATATACAGAAGGTCTTTCTTGCAACAAAATATTATTTGTTATTATTATTGTTTTATTAAACTATTAAATTGTCCATATTGATTGATAATTTTCTAAGAATTCTAATGTTTGGTTTCAAGGTTTCTGAGAAATAGTGTAGAAGTTCCTTAAATCTGTTTCCTTTTTGTTGGTATTGTATTAATGCCTTTAATTAACATTATAGGTGATTGTGAAAATGAAATTTAGTTATGATTTGCTTGCCTGCTGATGCTTCTTCTGTTCTGCAAAACTCAATTTCAAATTTTTTTTCGCAATAACTGCATTTGTTGTCTCTCCACTATTGTTCTGGCATCTTTCTTATGTGTGACATGACATTGGTTAGCCCACTGTCTTTGGTCAATGCCTACTGGTGGTTGCTGCTTCCACCACTGCTACAACCATAGTGATTTCACCACAATTATTCTCTTTGCACAAAAAAAGACACTGAGAGATACAAAAATCTCATATATAATTCCAAATTTCTGGAATTGGACCTTGGAAAACATAACATAACATAAGAATGGCAGGTTCATTCTTGAAACCTAGGACATTATTTCATGAGGTTGTGCTAATTAATCTTTTTTAGAAATAAAAGCAAAAAGATGGCTCAGAAAGGAAATGAAACTGCTATGAAGTAATGTGGTAGTGAGTTACGAACTGCTAAATGCCTCTAAAGATGTTTACTAATCATCATACGGCATATGTAGCTGGTAGTTCATGAGCAATCAAACATATTTATATTTCTGTTCTTATGGGTTTGCAGTCCGTTGAACTGGACAGACTTGCTCTTTACCTTGATTCAGATGTTTTGCCATGGCATATTGACAAGCCATGGCAGGATTTACTTCCTTCTGAGTGGGTTCAGGTATTGTCCTGTCAGTCTCTGTTAATTCTTCAATTATCAATTCATTTATGTTTCGTTGGTGATTGAGTAAGTTCATCACTGTTCTCCTTTCAGGTTTTCAGATATGGTACAAAGGATGGCAAACCAGCAGATTGTCCTTTGAAAGAACACACTTATATCCTGCAACCAGTGATTGGGAATGCAAAATACTTGAAGCTGCGTCAGAGCACTGATAGCCATGAGCCTCTACAGAAAGCCACTGTCAATTTGGATGACGTGACTCTTTGTTTGTCAAAGGTTGTTTATGAAGTTTCTGCTCCATGGGGCTGTGTTTTTGTGAGTGTTTGTAAATTTGATGGCTTTTGTTATCTTTGTATTTGCAGAATGGATACAGGGATGTTCTGAAATTGGCTGATAACTTTGCTGCCTTTAATCAAAGGTTAAAGTATGCACATTACCGTCCATCTGTCTCAGTGAAATCAGATCCAAGATCTTGGTGGAAGTATGCTTATAGAGTTGTTTCTGACCAGATGAAGAAAGCTAGGTAATAAAGCTAGATAGCATTTTTGTTTATTTAAGTTGCTGTGCTATTTTACTGGAAGTTGTTAGCTGTTACCATAGATTTTTTCTTGATGGTTGCTAATTGCTACTATTGCTTTATCTATTTTTTATACATTGTTGATGGAAAGACATGGACGTTTGGTGGTGATTTTATTGTAATGGGCTATAGATTCTATTTGTTTTTTTTTCTCTTCTTCTTTTGCTAAGTAGTTTGTCCTATTGGCAGTGGGAAGTTGTCTTGGGAGCAGGTTCTCAGGTATGCAAGAATGCGAAAGAGATATATTTCCCTATATGCTTCACTGCTTAAATCCGATATCAGTCGGCCAGTGGTTGATGACAATGAGGAAATTGACGATCTAGATCGTGCACTTGATATTGATCTTATACTGCAATGGAGGTATTATAGTTTGCTTTTCTGCATGAATGTTGTATTACAAAGATGGGCTGGTTAATTGTACCACTTCTTTTCATGCTTAAAGCAGGCTCCATCTTTTTGTTTTTCAGTTTTGTTTAATATTGTTTTTTGGAAAGCTATTAACATGTTGAAATGCTTGTCATCTACAGTTAAATTCTAAGTCTTATCTTTTTCAATGGATGGACAGCCATAGGATGCTATTTGACATATATATAACTTATAGTATTGTTGTTATCTTCTCTATATTGAAGAGCTTTAACATGTTTTGGCACCATGTAGAATGTTGGCACACAAGTTTGTTGACCAGTCAATAGAATCATACAACTTGAAGAAGCAAAAATCTAAAAGATCATGGTGGTCGTTGGGGTGGTAAAGTTTTTTGGATGGTTTCTTCTTACTTGGTATCTATCTGTATCTTTTGATTCTGTAAATTTATAAGCCACCAATCTCTATTTTCATTTTCAGGGGTAGTCAATCGTTTAAAGATGAAAGTGAATCATTCCATTTCACACAGGAGGACTGGGAGCAATTAAATAAAATCATAGGGTATAAGGAAGGTGATGATGAACAGTCACTAATAATGACTGAGAAACCAGATATTCTTCAGATGTCACTGGATGTTCACATGAAACATAATGCTTCAAAGCTTCTGGATGGGGCCCTGGAAAGTCTTGCTGAGTTATCATGTGATGGCCTTGATTGCTCCATTAAGCTTTACCCAGAGACAAAAGTTTTTGACATGAAACTGGGGTCATATCAATTATTATCTCCAAATGGTCTCCTTGCTGAGGTCTTCATTTTTCCGTTTCCCAGCTTTTCCTATTTATAGTTGTTTGCTTTGTTTGCAGAATGTGGGTTGTGACACTATTAATATGTCCTTTATTATTGCAGAGTGCAACTACTTCAGACTCTTTAGTTGGTGTTTTCTGCTATAAGCCTTTTGATGCTCAAGTGGACTGGAGCATGGCTGTTAAAGCGTCTCCATGTTATGTGACTGTATGCAAATTCTCAACTCTTGATTTATGATTCTTAATGCTTCCTACTGTTCTGGTGATTCTATATCTTTGGACAGTATCTCAAGGATCCCATCAATGAAATTATCAAGTTTTTTGAAAGCAGTACTGCTGTTAGTCAGACCATTGCATTGGAAACTGCTGCTGCTGTACAGGTTTTCTTCTATTCCTTTACTTTCTTTGAATTTTGTTGGCAATACCTTTGGTGCTAGCCTCGTTGCTGGAAATGAGCATGGTGACTTAGTGGTTAACATTTCATTTAATGTTTGGATCTTTGTTGTTCATGATTCTAGCTTCTGGGAAAGTATACGAGAAACTTGGTAAATTTTGTTGACAAGTCTGGGTAATTTCTCGGTTTAAATGTGGCAATGAAGGTAAAAAATATGACTTATGTGTTGCGTACTGGAATTATTCAAAGGAGTTAGATGCTTTGGCATTCATTGTCTTGTTGGCATGTCTTAATTTGCACATTTGGATAGTAATTCACCAATGAATGGGGATTGGAAATTGATTTTTGCCACTACTTGCAATTGCTGCTCCAACAATAGGAGTCAAGTTGTTCCCGGCCTTCTTAAATTATCTCAGCCTGATCCACATGAAAATGCTAGGGGGTTTCATTTGGTAGGTTAACTGATGATTTATTCAACTTGCTACTAGATGACAATTGATGGAGTCAAGCGTACTGCTCAGCAACAAGTCAACAGGGCCTTGAAGGACCAAGTGAGGTGTGTTGCATTCTTTAACTTTGAGTGAGCTTTTACGAGTGAACATATAAATACCATGAGGAAAGTTTGTGCTTGTTATAAGGTTCAACTGGGCAGTTGTGCATGCTTTGTCTGATTGTCTCTATTGCTTCAGTGAGTGAATATTTGCAGAATCTACTTTAATTCCCTTTTTCTTTTAATTGGAATTTAATGGCAGATTAATCCCAGGTCTCTATATTTTTGGTTTATTGTATTATAGAGATTTTGAGGATGTGTCCTCTTATCTTAGCATCCAGTGTGTATTGTGTCTTATGGGATTGGTAGTGTGACTGATTAGTTGTCATACCTGGCCAGTTTAATGCTAAAGATTCTTGTTACTGATGTGAATTGTTTGTTTTTGTTAAATATTGACAAATGACATGTCATAAGATGGATTTTTCTGGCTGGCCTTGGCTAGTCTTGGTTTGACTTGTTATTAGTTATGATCCCCTTGATATTTGATCATTTGTATTCAATTTTACCCAGTACTTTAATTATTGAAATGAGTTGTATGCAATGAGTAAAATTTTGCTTCTGCCTGCTGTAGATTTCGGCTGGACTTGGATATTGCGGCACCCAAGATTACAATTCCAACTGAATTTCGACCAGATAACACACATCCAACCAAACTTCTTCTTGACTTGGGAAATTTAGTCATTCGTTCACAGGTTAGAGCGTGAATATAAAGAGCAAAAGCATTGTAATTGCTTATGTTTGAATATCTAATTCAGAGATCAATCTTGCTGAATATTTGTAGGATGACAATCCAAGGGGATCTTCGTCGAAGCTGGATTTGTATTTGCAGTTTGATTTGGTTTTAAGTGATGTCTCTGCCTTTTTAGTCGATGGTGATTATTATTGGGCTCGAACTTCTCCAAATAAATCTGATGGGACTTCTCACATGAAAGGTGTTAGTATCTTCCCTGTTATAGACAAATGTGGGGTGGTCTTAAAGCTTCAACAGGTAAAACTTTGCCTTTCATACTCTGAAACTAGGTGGATAAGATTGTATCTATTTAAGATTTTATCGTCTTGAGACTAATGCTGTTTCATGTCCAATAAAGATTCGATTGAAGAACCCATCCTATCCGTCAACAAGACTTGCCATAAGGTTGCCATCATTAGGGTTTCACTTTTCTCCAGCTCGATATCATCGATTAATGCAGGTAATTAAGATCTTTCAAGAGGAGGATAGTGAGAGCTCAAATCTTCTTTCCCCTTGGAATCAAGCTGACTTTGAGGGTTGGTTGTCTGTTCTTACCAGGAAGGTCTCTCTCTCTCTCTCTCTCTCTCTCTCTGACATTCGCCTTTTTCTTTAGTGTGCCTTTGTTTTCTGACATTCTCCTTTTCCAACTTTGACCTGATAGGGTGTGGGAAATAGAGAAGCTGTGTGGCGGCGACGATACTTATGCTTAGTGGGACCTTTTCTTTATATTCTTGAGAGTCCTGATTCCAAGTCTTATAAGCAATACCTCAGGTTTAATTATGAACATTTTTTTGAATGATTTTTAATTCAGATGATAATCTAGTATAATTTAACTGCTATATTTTTTACGTAATTCCGGTGCATGTTTTGAAAATATGAAGAAATAATTTATGGATGATCATATTAAAGAGATGTTTTGGAACAAACTTCAGAACCTCAAATGTGACTTGTGATTATGTGATATAGATTGCCATTTTTTCATTAGAAAAATCTTATCCAAATGCTGTTTTGCAATCTGCCCTGCATGGACTGCAAAACAGTTAACCATTGATGGAGGGGTGGGCTGCCAATATCATGGGGCCTGCTCCCCCATCAATGGTTAAGTGAACTATGCAGACTGCACTTCCCTTTTCTGTAATCTTATATTTGTACAAAATCATGATGACCATGTTTTCAATTTTCAGCCTTAGTTTAATAACTTTTAACTTGCTTCTCTGTGATGGCTAAGATCTCAAAGAATTTATTATGTCTTCAGAGTGTTCTGTATTCTATAACCTCTAGTTGAGTACAAAAATGATTTATGATATCTGGTTCTTGCAATCTTCAGCCATACTTGAAGCTATTAATTATATGTACTGATTTATTTGCTCCATAGCTTGCGAGGAAAACAAATATGTCAAGTTCCAGCGGAATTGGTTGCTGAAGTAGATTCTGTATTGGCTGTTTGTGATGCAGCACGATCAAATAACAAGGTTGTTAAAGCATCCTATCTATTGAATTGGGGATCCTAGTTGCATTTTCTTCCAAATTTTGATTGCGCCAAGATTTACTGTAGTTTGCTGAATATTTCTTCATTTACATCTTTTTTTTTTTCTTTTTTTCTTTTTTCATTTAGGTTGTTGAAGATGTGAATGCTTTAATATTGGGTTGTGATTCTGATGATTCAAGGAAGGCATGGCAAAGCCGCTTGCAGGGGGCTATATATCATGCTTCAGTAGGTTCCATTACACAGCTCAAGTCTTTTTTATTTTTTCTATTTTTCTCCTTATGTAGTTCTATATATCACTGGTTTGGTCATTTAGAGTAATGCTTATGTCTATAGGTATTGCAGTTTCCAATTGCATGAAGGGTTATGTTTCAGTTTTATTTAACATCTAGTATTCTTTATCAGTGGATGGATGATGCCGATTCCTACTGAAATGATTCCGTCATAACTAACTCTTCATTATTGTTGTAATATATCATTATGATTCCAAAATTACAAATCCTAATCCTACAATTTGGAGGTAGAATTCTTGCATGCTTGCCCTGTTCATGATAGTTTTGCTTCTATTGCTAACCAAAACTGAAAAGTGTAGAATCTTAAATTAAGGAGAATTTGGTTCAATATTTATGTTGCAACAATTTTTTTTATATGTTCTTGATTTGATCGATGAATGCAATCTAGCTAGTAGTTCAACATTTCTGTAAAGATTTTCTTTTGAAGTCAATTAGTTGATACAGATGTTCTCGTATGGTAAAAAAAAAGTTACAAACTTTGTGGAAAGAATTTAGTGTCTGCAGTATATAGTATTTTTACTTCCTCTTTGCCCTTAAAATCCTTTCTGATTACCTTGCTAGATAACCAAGGGAAGGTAATAGAGAAATGTTGTTAATTCTTCTTTCTACCTTTAAGCTGCTTATCAATAAAAATGAATAAAAGAGATGAGAAAGATAATCTTAAATCTCATTGGAAGTTGTGAGAATGTGAGTTAGCAAAGACCAACAGCTATCTTTTGTGTTCCATGGAGGAGGGGAGAAGAAAAAAGAGAAAAAAGAAACACACAAAGATGTACATGGACAAGCATGCCTGGATTTTGTGTGCGTGTGTGTGTGTTTTTAGTGAGATGCATGGAGTCTGTAATAGCTGGCAGTTTTGTTTTAGTATGTAGTATCTTTTGAACTACTTCTGACACTATGACTCAAGTACTCCTAAGCAATGAGTATCCACAGGATTTTATACATATGGCAGGCCAGGGGTGGAATGGAATTGAACTTGGATTTCTCCCTCCTGAAGTAGAGGTCATTTTCTCAAAAGTTTCAAGTGCAGTAATTGTAACTAGTTATTTTCACAGTCATGTGTACTTATATCCCATTGTAGTTTGAAAACAGATGACATAAGTCAACCTAAACCATAACCAGAATTTAGAACCTGAAGCCAAGTCAAAGGTAACAAACAGAAACAAAGATTCAAGCTCCCAGGTCCAACTGTGCGTCAACCAGTTGCATGTGCCAGCTAATAACCATGCTGGAGAGAAAACCTCATTTGGGTGAGATATATATTATAATAGTGAGGAAAGCAAGTCTGATTGTAATTCACCACTCTTCTGCAGGGCTCTGCTCCTATCACTACTCTATCTGAAACTTCATCAGATGACTCTGAAACAGAACTTACTGATGATGCAACTGATTTAACAAAGATGGAAAGTGTGTTTATTGTTGGTGTTCTTGATGAGCTAAAAATCAGATTCAATTATAACCACCAGGTAGGCATATCTGTATTATCATCTTGAAACTTAACTAATGTTGAATGGTTTAGGAATTTGACCATTGTGTGTTTTGCTAGCATGACCGGAGTTTCATCAAGGTGCTTCTTGCTGAAGAGAGCTCATTGTGTGAATTTCGGGCATTAGGTGGTCAGGTTAGGTTTTATTGAATTTCCTGTACCTATATTGTGTTGCTATTTATTTTGTTTCTAGAAAACTCATCTTCTTTTAACAGGTTGAGCTTTCAATAAGAGGGAATGATATGTTCATAGGCACCATGCTGAAGTCCTTAGAGATTGAAGACTTAATTTGCCACAATAGGGTCTCTCAGCCTTGTTACCTTGCTAGATCTTTTATCCGGGCTATAGATGCAGATTTATCATTTAATAATATTGAGAATAAGAGTTTCAATAGCAATGACTTATCTCCACGAGAAGGAGACGAGAAGTTCTATGAAGCACCAGAGAATTTGTTTGATTCTGGGGATTACACAACACTCTCATCTGATAATATGTCCGAGTATCCGAGTTCCCAAATCTCGCTCTCATTAGGAAGCCCATCACTCAAGACTCCAAGTTTTCTTCACATTGCTGGCTTACTTCCTGATGATAACATTCTTTCCAAAAGAGAGGACATTGAAATAAGTGATACTTTGGACAGTTTTGTTAAAGCTCAAATAGTAATATATGACCGAAATTCTCCTTTGTACAACAATAATGATATGCGGGTAGGTAATTTTCAAAGTTTGGATCTTTTACTCAACTAAATTATGTTGTTAATTTATGGTTATTTTTATTTTTCCAGGTCACTGTGACACTGGCTACATTGTCATTTTTCTGTCGTAGACCAACAATTCTTGCCATTATGGAATTTGGAAATGCCATTACTATAAAAAATGAAAGTCATGAATCTTTCAGTGATAGTTCTTCGGCAGTTGATACAAAACAGGATGTTAGAAGAGACCTTGCCAATGCTCCCCAATTATTGACCACTGAGGAATATGTTGTCAAAGGTTTACTAGGGAAAGGAAAGTCCAGGATTATTTTTAATTTAAAATTAAATATGGCACGTGCTCAGATTTTGTTGATGAAGGAAGATGAAACTAAGCTTGCTACACTGTCCCAAGAAAACCTGCTTACAGATATAAAGGTTTGTCCTTGCATCTTTCTTCATTTCCTCTTTATGTTTCTCTTATTTCCTCCTTCTGCTCTTTGTTACCTCTTAACTTCTTCTTCCTGTTAATAAAAATAGATTGAATGCTCAGCAAAGTTTCTTTTGGTTTAGGTGTTCCCATCTTCTTTTAGTATAAAAGCAGCATTGGGAAATTTGAGAATAAGTGATGATAGCCTTCCTAGCAGCCACTTATATTTCCGGATCTGCGATATGAGAGATACTGGAGGAACTTCATTTGTTGAGGTGTGCTTGATACTTATATGAACTTTAGCTTCCATTCATTCTTCATATGATGTGCTTTGTTGTAGAAAGAAGTTTTTGATACAATATCCTGATGTGGAAACCTGAAAGATGACATTAGTTAGGAGTTACGTGAATGTTTACTATTATTCAAATCTTACAGCAAGTGAATTCAAGTCTCAGGTCATTTCTCTTACAAATGTTTGCGACTTGTTTTCCTTATCATCCCTTTCCTTGCCAATAACTTCTCTTTTTGAAGAAACCAAGCCTGTTTGGCTCAGGAAGATGGTGAACTTTACCTGCCATTTTATGTATTACATATGCAAACATGTGCAAAGGATTTCTCATTAACATGGTACAATAACATGATTTTCTCATCATTCGTGTCTTTTATTTGTTAAACTCCACTGTCCGTCTGAACCAGTCCAAGGATCAAACTCCTATATCATTGTGTTCTCTTCTTTCATTATAGATTGTGTTAAAATGATTTACTTCCTCTAATTCCCAACTCATTTCCTCATAAAGATTATCATCTTTCATCATTGTGATTGTTCTCTTTTTCTTGCTTTTCTTCCTCTTCCAAGTCCTTTTGAAGGAAACTATTATTTGTTTTTTTGAAATGGTGGGTAAAATGTCAAGGAGAATATTACAGATGTTTGTTCTACAGATCTGCTGCAGGTCTTTTTCCTTTTTCAATTACTGATGGTTGTGTTTTGGAACTTTAGTGAACTAACAGCATCTTTGTAATGTTTGGGTGCCTTTAACATTTCCCTCCTTTTGACCTTATACATCCAAACAACCATACATATACATAGAGTGAGGGTAATTTTACAAACATCTGTTCATTATCATGCAGTTACTTTTTACATCATTCAGTGTTGATGATGAAGATTATGAAGGTTATGAGTATAGCCTTTCTGGGCAGCTTTCAGAAGTACAGATTGTTTATTTAAATCGCTTTGTCCAAGAGGTAAGGCAGCTTTCAGTTGTTGGTAATTTAGTAAAGCTTTATGGTATTCATAATGCATCTTAAACTTGAAATGTAGGCTATTGGTTACTTTCTTGGTCTCGTGCCCAAAGACTCAAATGATGTTGTCAAATTTAAAGATCAAGGGACAAACTCAGAGAAATGGTTCACAACCAGTGAAATTGAAGGTTTGCCTGCTTTGAAGTTGGATCTTTCATTGAGGAAACCTATAATTTTGATGCCACGAAAAACTGACAGTCTTGAGTATGTTCGTTTCTGTTTAATTCAGGATATTTCGTTCTTGATGTGTTTCATGCTGCTGCAGGCTGCCTTCATTTTTTGTCACGGTTGAAAGTCACTTGGACATATTAGGTTAACTATTTTGATATTCTTGTTGGCAGTTACCTAAAACTCGACATTGTTCATATCACTGTTTGCAATACATTCCAGTGGTTCTCTGGCAGTAAAAAGGACTTGACTGCTGTCCATTTGGAAATATTGACCATTGTGGTGAGAATCATACAGAGATTATCAACCATTGGTTGAAGAAAAGTGGTTACAAATTTCTTTGCATCTTTGACGTTTTCTGTTTACATATGATTAAAATATTATTAATCATCCTTTTTTCTTTTTCCTCATAGTTGCAATATTTTTAGATACTTTATCTTACACCTTGCTTTCTTTGTGGCTTATTTCACTTTTCAATTAATGTAGGTTGAAGACATCAATTTAAATGTTGGTACTGGATCAGATGTAGGTGAAAGTATAATTCAAGATGTGAAGGGGGTCTCTGTTGTCATTCAGAGGTCACTTCGAGATCTGTTGCATCAAGTACCTCGCATTGAAGCTGCAATTAAGGTATTGGATTGTGTTTTCATTAGTGCTGATTGGTCAAACAATGCTCCTTTCGGTATTGCCTTCTTATGAAGGAAAGTTGACATGATGACCTTTTGACGCTGTGGTTTTTCAGATAGAAAAGTTGAAAGCAGCCTTGTCAAACAGGGAGTATCAGATTGTCACTGAATGTGCACTGTCTAACATTTCTGAGACCCCAAATGTTGTGCCCCCATTGAGTAGTGATTCAACGTCTTCAGTGGAGATTGCTGGACCTGTTATTCCACAGGATCCTGTTGCCATTGAGTCTGGAACTTTGAATAGTGAAACTTGGATTGTGATGAAAGTTTCAGTTGTCGTCAAGCTCGTCGAATTATGCTTGTACACGGGGGTGGCTAGGGATACACCACTATCCACTGTACAGGTATGCTTTTGTTTTATGTACTTTTGATTTGGTTTCTCTTTAGTGCCTACAGTAAAGATAATTGCATTAGCTTGGTTAAGTAGTGGTAATATCCCACACTAGGTTTTTTTTTTTGGATAACATGGATATCTAGACCTTTAGCTGTCCCACACTAGTTTAATTTGGGGTTTGTTGCAACCTTACCCTCTTTGTCTGTCTCTTGGTTTTAAGTGTCCATGTAATAGACCTGTTTGTTTCTGTTATTCTTTTGGGTTTGCATGTCAGGGGAGAGTGTTGAGCAGTTGTAATATTCTACATCCATGCAATTTGGTGTTTTTTGTGGCCTTGATCAAAATTTTGGTTGGGCTCTTCAACCAATTGGTTTTATGCTGGATTGGCTTGACTGTTTTAAGTAAAATTCCCCTCTAGATAAGATACTTTCTTTTAAACATTCCTGATCTGTTTCTGATTGGAAATTATAGCATGTTTTCCAATCTTTTAAACGTTATTGATGAATTTCTACATTCAGAAATTTGAAATTGATATACATTTTGCGTGACCAGACTACAATTACTTTATGATAGCTGGATGAGTTGTTTGTATTTTCTAGTCTTCAGTGTTTATTTGTTGTGCAGGCTAGTGAAGCATGGCTTCTTTACAAGTCTAACACATTGGATGAAGGTTTTCTCTCAGCAAGTCTTAGGGGATTCTCCATGATTGATGATCGTGAGGGTACTGAAGAAGAATTTAGGTTGGCAATGGGATTATCTGAGGATATTGGTTATAGTCCTCTGCCTTTTATGGCTGACAATGATAACCAGAAAGTGGTTTATTCAGATGTTAGGGAAGAAAACAATGTCAAACCATTTCCTACAATGCTTATTCTTGATGCAAAATTTGGTCAATTCTTGACATCCATGTCTGTATGTGTCCAAAGGCCACAACTGCTTGTTGCCCTTGATTTTATGTTTGCAGTTGTTGAGTTTTTTGTTCCAACAATTGGGAGTATGCTCTCTGATGAAGAAGATAAGAGAACTATGCAGGTGTTTGATGCTATTATTTTGGATCAGTCAACTTACAGGCAACCCTCTGCTGAAATCTCACTCTCTCCTCGGAGACCTTTAATTGTTGACAATGAGAGGTTTGATCACTTCATTTATGATGGTAATGGTGGGATCCTGTGCTTAAAAGACGGGCAAGGAGCTGATCTTTCTGCACCTAGTGTTGAGGCCATGATATTTGTAGGAAGTGGAAAGAGACTGCAGTTCAAAAATGTTATTATCAAGGTTAACTTTCTAACAATTTTTGTTCACATTCAAGACAAAAATATATTGCAAAGAAATTTACTCAGCTACTGTTTGTTTCATTGTAGAATGGGCGATATTTAGATTCTTGTATTTTGCTGGGATCGAACAGTAGCTATTCTGCATCAAAGGATGATCAGGTTTACTTGGAGGGAGGGAATGAGAATCCTAAATCAGATTCTTTGACAGACGATGCTAATGATTTACCATCACAATCTACAGTTGACAGATCCAAAGAGTTTGTTATTGAGATGCAGGTTCTTTCTTCTTTGAGTAGATTTTCTTCGTTTCTTTATTACTATTAATTGCTTTCTCTGATCTTTACCTTGGAACTGAAAGTTAGGTTGGTTATTGAGTTGCATTATGATTTGTTAGTAACTTTCTAAAAGATATTCTCTAAATATCTGTGTGATGTTATTTGCCAAAACATTGAGTTTTCCTTATCATTCATAGAAGAGTGAGTACCAGAAGAAAATTGGGATACAGGTGCAGGCCTATCTTCCTTTTTTGTTTGATAGGAAAAAGGGGATTTTATTGAGGGGAGTACCAGCAGTGCTCCAATGCTTCAATTTGTGAATGTCAAAAAACAATCTGAAGCTATGAATATTTGCCAAAACTGCATTCATGCTGAGTCTATAATTTTTCTTTTCCTTTCCTTTTTTTCTAATAGCACAATGGTTATAAAAATTAGGAGGAAAACCACCCCTAAACTATATCTTTTTGAATAAACTCCTATTGAAAAAGATTAAAATAACCTATTTTAAAAGCAAGAATGAAACTGTTTCGGTCTTTTTTTTGATGCATTTTTGCAACTATGTGGTTTTGGAGTGTTTTTCCTCCTTTATTTTTTTAAAGGTC